GTGTATCATTTGAATAATGGTTTCTTTAGTGAACAATTTTCCTTTGCCTCTAGGCTCAAGTGATGGGCTTCTACTACTTCCCTTGAAGGACTGTTTCACAGGCCCTACTTAGCGTTGGGACAAAAGTAGCCATCATCAGTCTGATTTTTAAACCTATTTAGATGCCTAAAATCTTCAGATAGGTGCCTAATATGGTTTTCTACATTTTGTAAAGAGTCTAGCTCTCTCCTGGGTTCTGGTCCTCCGCTGGTATAAGGAATGGGAACTGGAAACCAAAGTGGAAAAATCTGCTTCGCATCTCTCCTTAGGTTTCACATTTTGTGGCACATGCAGAAGCATAACTGCCAGCTAGAATTTGGTCTTTATTTCTGATCTGTGAAATATAGCACTGCTCTCATTCTAATAAGTTGCATTTGTTCTCATTTAGCATTTAGTAAAACACAGATTTTAAATTATTCTGTAATCTGAATTTACTGGATCAGTTTTTCTTCTAGTCAAGTTTTGCCTATTGCACAAGCACAGAATTTGGTTCTGCTTCTTACAGATGTAAATAAAGACAAAAGATCTGAAGTGATATAAGATGGTAATAGAGGATATTATTAAATATATACATACAGATTTGTTTTCACCTTTTAAGACAGACATTACTGTCTTTACAAATGTATGCTACTCAGAAGCAATACTGTGATTATCTTCTTCCCTAAATAGAAGGGTAAATTTTCAGATGTAATTTAAATTTTGGATTATATGCTGGTTTGCTGCATGCCAAAATGCATACAATCAACAAATATTCCAAACTAATAAAATTCACAATACAAATGAATTCACTCTCTCATTTACAATGTTAAAATACATATCATTGTAAAAAGTGGTAGGAAAAAAGAACCAGCAAACTATTTGCCCTTGGAGTATATTAAGTTCCATATTGGCTGTTCCCCTACCTTTTGATTCGTTGAATGATTATCAGAATAAGCAGAAATATAAAGATTTATCAGTCTGTTACAGTACTGCTCCTACTCCTATTAACATCAGTGAGAAAACTCCCGCTGACTTCAGTGCAAGGGACAGGACCTTAGAGCATGGGTTCAGTGCATTACTGTCTCCCCTTGCATTTCTTAGGGTTGGATTCTGATCTCGCTTGCACTTGAAGTTAATGGGTCCCAATTTAGAAGAGTGCAGCCGAGATCAAAATTTGACCCTCAGTTTTCATCTCTTACTTAGACAGTCCATGAGTTCAAACTATGTCATTCATTTCTTTTAGGACCTCAGTTTAAAGAATAAATCTGCCCCACTAGAGGTAAAAGGCTAGATCATGGCAACACAAGTGCCAAGAAGATGCTTTGTATAAAGTTAATTACAGACCTAGGGTTGCTACTTGCTGCTAAATTTCCCTCTTCTCTCACCTTCGGATAGAATGTTCTCTGCATTTGTACCACCTAATATCTCAGAATGCTGCCCACTTCTGGACTCTGCAAGATTATAATTATATGCCTCACCTCCTTTTTAAGATGCTTGACCTGATATTATTATTCACCTTGAGAAGGTGATTGCAAAGTTCCATGTGAAATAAGAAAGAGCAAAAACTGTCCTTTCCCATAAGCCACTTAGGAACCAAGTGCCCAATTATTCCTTTCTGATGTCCCCTGAACTTTTACAGAAATCAGTGGGAGTCTTAGCCAGCCTCTGAGCTCTATGAATCAGCTTGCTGATATTTTAAAATTAAGTGAGTCCAGGAGATAATAGTTTACTTAGTGCTCTGTATGAGTTGTCTTGGAAATCATTTTCTACACAGAAGGAAGATCTCTTACTTCTCTTGCTTTCAGTCACATCCTACTATCCTCTGTAAGAATGATTTTTAAGAATACCTCTGTCAAGTGTCCAGGTTGTAGCCATATTGGTCTTGAGGCAAAAGGAAAAAGTCCTAGTCCTGCCCTGCCCAACTGACTTCCTCCCTCCCTCCCTATGGGGACCTCAATTCCCCTGCCCACCAGGCTCATCTGCGAGAGCTGCTCTCCAGGCTGCCTGGGGCCATGTGCATGTATAATATGTACATGGCACACCGTGCCTCACCACCCTCCTCCCGTTCCCCCATCCCCTTGAAGGCTGGAACTCTGCCAGCCTGCAGAGAGATCTTTGCAAAAGAACCAAATACATGTGTTTCTCTGTTGGAATGAAAAATTCGTGTTTTTCTCTGGTAAAAGGGAAAATACACTGGGGGAGGGGGGGTTGTTTTTCCATGGGAAACAGCAAACCTGGATCCCTGCACATGATTAACTTTGTTACTGAGCCAAACCTTTTTCCAAAGTTTGATCACGGAAATTACTTTTCTTTTCTTCAATTGTAAATAGAAAAGACAAAGTAGAGTATTTGGGGTTGGGGGGAAACAAGCCATAGCAGACTAGTTTTCCCAGCAATTAGAATCAATCACTAGGAAAAGCTACTACTAGATCCACATATTTTTAGTTTTATTCAGATTTCATCACCATGCCATATTTAAAAACTATTTCTTAACAGAGGATGCTGTTGTATTATTTAGCAATAAGGCCTTTTTTTTATTTCATAACAGGGCAACAAATTGCTTAATGTGATTGGCTAAGAGCTGTCTCAAGTCATATTTTAAACAAAAGATCGTGTAATATCCTTTTGAGATTATGGATTATAGCACCCGCAATGGCATCATATGTTTTGTGCTCACAATTTTGATGTGTGTAATCAGTTAAAAATAAAATTCAGCTGATTCTATAACACAAGTTCCTGTAAATCTACTCTGTTCTCCAGGAAATCCACTAGGGATTTCAGTATTGCTACTGAATTTCTGTGGAAGCTGTTCAAATATGCCATTGATAGGTGGCAGTAAGCAACTGCAAGATAGGTAGACAAATAAATTTTATTTCACAAAATGTTGGGTGCAATTATTTAGCTATGGTTGAGCACATGTGAAAATATACCTCTATGATTTCTGAATTTATGAATCTACCAAAACAAAAGTAGCTTTTGAAAAGTACTCCAGCTTACATTCATTAGCTGATCTTTGAGACCAAATTTCAACGTGACTAATTTGAATATACCTATCAGATGTCTAATGTATGTATTTGCAACTGAATGGATGTAGTAGACACTGAGAGCATCTACACGTTTATTAGTGTGCAATGGTTGCTGCGCATTTAATTTAGTATTTGTATAATCAAGTACTAAATACATGTGCAGTAACCAGAGTTATTGTGTAGTAGTGTCTGTGAACATCTTTTTAGTGGCCCTACTGCACAGTAGCCTAATAATACTGTGCAGTAGCATATTATCAGTTTGTGCTGTGATGCACTACTGTGCAGTGTCATTAGACTACCATGCAGTTAGCATCTCAAGTAGATGCGCCCATTGAGTATAGAAATTTGTTTGAGTCATGCCCTCTTATTGTTTCCCAAATTCTAACAGAATTTTAAGAGTCAAGGTAAATAAAATCTTAGGATATAGGAAATATTCAGGATACTCCTCTCCTTATTCACTTAGCTACATTTAGCAACCTATTTGACATCATTTACTCTGACTGGAGGCAGCTATTTCATGCATCATCATGCAAAAAAATAGCATCATGAAATGCCTAGAACCCCTTTTTGAAAGACTGACACTTAAGTAGACATGGCTCCCATTCTTCCCCAGATCCAGTACATTATGTCTGCATGTTATGTGATACCTACCAGGCATTGTTAAAGTTGAGCCTAGTCCTGAAACCTTAACTAATGTAACTCTTCTTAATGAAACCAAATCAATTGACTTGGGGCTTTGTGGCTGGATGGTTCCCTATGTAAACTCAGGTCTCTCTCATATTCATCTGATGGTCTGATGTTCCTTCAAGCCTGCTGGTACTTTTGGGGCAAACTGCAACATTCACTGACAATTTTGTATGAGACTCTTTGATCTTTGCAAAGCACGGATCAGATGGCAAGGACCTTGATTTACAAAGATGTTAGTATTTGATGTATTATTACCTAAAGATGACAAAATCTTTCACATTCTTTTTTGAAGGTTGACAGAAATTTTGAACAAAAGTACTACACATAGTTTATGAGATGTTATTCAGAAGCAAAACACTGCTTTGTTCTTCATCAGCTGTTTCACATTTAACTACACAGAGAAGCACTTACAACATAATCATATACCTCTGTATTGTTTGGCATCAGTGAGTCCCGATAAAGTCATTTAACTACCTGTGAAAAATACATTTTGGAAGTCTGCCTTTGTGCACAAATGTAAATAAAAGACAATTAGCCTCAGAGAGGGCACCATTTGGCTTCCAAGGGAGGTGGTCTTCTCTTCTACCTTGGGGGTCTTTAAGAGGAGATTGGACAAGCACCTGGCTGGGGTCATATGACCCCAGCGCTTTTTCCTGCCCAAGGCAGGGGGGCAGACTTAATGATCTATTGAGGTCCATTCTGACCCTAACTACTATGAAATGATGATGCTTTGGGGCAGAAGAGTTTAAGTCATGATTGCATACATAGTTGCAGGTGGTTAAAATGATCTCAAGGGTCTTAATGTGAGTGAGAACATAAGTTTGCCTACTGAAAGAAAAACTCAGTTTGATTATTAAGATATCACACTTCAGTTCATTCATCACCCAATAATGGCAGCATAGTGATTAACCTGAACTTAAAACATTTCCTGAGGAGAAATGACCAGCAGGGGATGGATAAGGCTGAAGGCCAAGTGAATAAATTTCTTAATGAAATCTATGTTGAAAAATTAGAGTACTAAGGAACTAAGCTTATAGTATTTTTGCTGTTTAGTAACATTGCAGTACACTCTTAGATTGGTGAAGTCATAATAACTGAATAATTCAGAAAAATAAGCATAAAAAGGAGTCCATTTTTAACAAGATACGTATAGTCATTCTATAACTTCTGAAAATCTGAGTGGATTTTATAGTGTAATATATGTGAAATGATATACGGGTAAATAAGTTTCAAAATCGATAGAAAAAGTTTATGTTTAACGTACAGAAAATATTTTAATAACTTTGTTCAAAGCTGATATATTACATAAGTTGTTAGAAACCAATAAAACTTCTATTCCCATGTAACACACTGTACATGTATAATATAAAATATGCATGTGCAACAAGAGTACCACATATATACCACATATCAATCCCTTCTATAGAGTGTTCTCATTAGCTTTCCTCACTATGAAGTCTACATTTCACATGATACACATATAAGAGGCTATACACAATAAATCAGTGTTGAACATTCCCACCTGCTAACAGCATTTTCATATGAAAGATGCATCTTCTCAGAAACAATACTCAGGTATGTAAAAGTGTATTCTACATTTGGATGCTCAGGGTCATGAGTTCCTAAGTAGAGCACAATCCAAACGACTGTCGAAGTCAATGCGAGTCTAAACCCTTAATTTTATTTGGTCCTGCGTTAGTTTCTCAGGGTAACATTTTACCAATATTTTTTGTACATGGCAAACTTTGCTTGTTTAAGTAGCCCCAAAATACATTAATAAAGTGTCATATAGATATTGGCAGAGCTGGAATCTCAGAAGCTGGGCATGGGCCACTTAAAAAAAAATTGGCTAAATAAATATTTTAAGGTGTTATATTCAACAATACAATGAAGTCAGTGATTCAGTCCTGAAATAAGCAATGAAGTAGCACCATAGACAAGGTATGATTTAGATCAGGGCTGTTCAACTGGTGGCCCACAAGTCACATGCAGTACCCAAGCTCCTGCTCCAGGCTCCACTCCTAGCTTTTCTCTATACCCAGAGTCCCTGGGCTCCCCCTCCCTCCTCAAGCTTCTTCTGCCTGCCACCTATCCCTGCCCCTGCCCCTGTCACTTGGGCAGGGACAGGGTAAACTAGTCTGCAGGGCTGAGGGAGTCTGTAACCATAGGGCTCATGGAACCTTCCCTGCTGGTGCAGTGTAGAGAGAGTGCAGTGTGTTGCATTGCATCCATGTAGCACAGAGCAAGGAGGGCTGTATGGTACATCTGCACAGCATGGGGGGATGGAGGGCTGTGCGTGGTTTGTCTGCACAGTGCATCCACAATGGAAAGGGGTGGAGGAAGTCTGTGGCTTGCAGGGCTTTCATGGCACGTCAGCAGACTGTGTGGTGTGGCGCAGGGTGGGATAGAACGATGCAGTGTGCGACCCATGGTATTTCCCAAGGTTGTGTCTAGTTTGCACAGTCCTGCAGCCCTCAGCCACTCAGAAGTTGAATAGCCCTGGTTTAGACTGCAAAACTAATTATCTTTTAACAAGTCTGTAGTGTCTAATTTCTGTAAATGTCACCAATTTATCTTGAAAGTGAAGAAACTGTGGCTGAAGATTACTCTGTAACCAAACAGTTCATTCATGATGTTAACTTCATCTGGAAGCTCTTTTTTTTGCATACAGGGTTTGAGATCTGTAAATTTGGAGTACTAAACTCAGAACTGTTTCCAGTGGCAGCATTGTGACAACTAAACAAAGCTAGAGAATGTAAGAGCACTTCTTTGGCTTTAGATGTTTCTATATTATGTTCCTGGGACAATTGAAGACTTAGCAGATTTAAGTTATTCATTATCAAACTGGAAGTCTGGAGGTTTGTTACAGAGCCACATCTAGTCAGGTTTTCTTCAAAAACCTGTTTATAGAGCTCTTCCATCTTTCTATCCATGTAATTGTTGAGCACAGAATTTGAAAGAGGCTGTTTGTGGAGTGTCATACTCCTTTCTGTACCTTCATCCCCATTCAAGAACTTTGAAGCAGGTTTTTCAAGAGGCTCCTTTGGAGGTGAATGACCTAAGGGAATATCTACTGACACTAAAACAGGGCCATCAGGGAGTTCATCACATGTGTCATCCATAACACAACCTGAATCAAGCATATAGTCCCCTACATGGTCTCCTGCAATATGTAGGTCAGGGTAGTTTTGATAAATGCTGTGGCATGACCAGGATCTATACAAATCCAGCTGTTTTTCATTATTGTGTTCCCTTTCTGGTATATGTAAACCTGTAAACATGGTTCCATTAACATGTGCACTATTATGTTCTTTTGCAGGTAGCTCTTCTGTTGATTTACATGGAAGAAGAACTTTATTGTGTTCCTTCTTGCTATCTTTTGCAATGATCTTGTCCTGCTTCTTAGATTCTGTAGCAAGGTCTTCAGTTGCCAGTCTATCCACAAGATGATCTTTCCAGGTTTCCTTCTTCTCTTTTTTGTTGATGCCACATCTGTGGGGTTTGTTTTGTTTCTTTTCTCTGTATATAATTCCTGTTAGGATGCCTTCTGCCAACATTATGACTGGTGCTAGAGACCAACTAACTATCACAGTACAGTATATTTCTGCAAAAACAAACATGACATGTCAGGTAATGTAAAATAAAGGAAATTATAAAAGTAAAATTGTAAAAGTAAAATATATGTTTCAAGGAGACTGGAATATGATTTGTATATAAATAGCACCTTGATCACTTTTTCACAAATCTATTTTTATTCCAAGATAAAGTAAAACTATTTTGGCAACAAAAAGTCATTCTAAAGACAAAATAACCCCAAAAACTAAAAATTGGATCCTTACTTTTCCATATCAGCTCAGTCCTGGATATCACTTGTGAATGATGGCTAATTGTGATAATTCGTACACATGAACTGTGATCCTGTAAGGACTAATTTATAATCACAGAATTATTTTCATTGGATTGGACCAGATTCTCAGCTGGTACAAATCAAGATAATTTCTTTGAAAGATATCGGTTCATACCAGTTGATAATCTGGCTCAGGGATGTCCAACTGGTGGCACATGAGGGGTTAACATGCTCCTGTCTCCATGGCTGCCATTGCTTTTTTTCACTCTGGCCATTGCCTTTTACACTCACTCACACAGCAGCCAGGGTCTCAGGGCTCCCCCTTCCACCGTAAATACAGCACTACTCAATTCATCTCCCAAAAGAAGCAGCCTCTCAGGTATCAGCCAACACTATACAGCATGTACTATACTGAACTTTTGTATTACTAAGGCTCCATAGTTTCACTACATAAGCTATAGGAAGCCAATATTTCGGCAGGTGTACCACAAATTGGCCCTGCAGCATCCAAGTGCCACTTCAATCCCTCCACCCTGTCCAATCTGCTGCTCTGCTTTCTGGCGCCAGCCCTGTGCTCACTCCCTTCTTTCTGCTTCCTTCCCTGTGTTCCTTGCCCTATTTGTTGCTTTAATATCTGCTTCTTGCTTTATCTGCTACCATGCTGCTTATCCCCTTCCTGATCTGCTGTGTGCCACACAGAGAGGCTCCCCATATCACTTATAGCACCCATGCTGCAGGTTGGCCACCTCTACACTAATCCGTCATGAAATGTTATCTTGAATAATTAAAACTAAATGTTGTGTTTCAAAATCATGTACATATTAGCCACTACATGTTGTGATTCCTTGGCATTGCCTTTTATTTGTATTAAGTCTTGATGCAGCTGTTGTCAAAATCAACAGCAAAATTCCAAATGGTTTCAGTGAAGGATCAAACGTTTTGGGCTCAATCCATTTTCCATTGAAATCAAACCAAGTTTTTTCCACGAACCTCAGTGTGAGTTCGTCTGACCTAAAAAGGCTGAGGGTTTTCCCATTAGACTCTAATGGGAAAGAGGAATACAAGAAGGCTCCTTTTTATTTGAATGTCTTTGCAATGTAGTCTCTGTGTATGGAATCTATTCTCTTTGCACAGCTCTGGGGCACACATTCCCTCACAGAAAGGAGGGAGAGGCAAGGAGTGAGGCAAACACATTGAAGAAGGTATAACAAACCCTCGGAAGTATACTGCCCAGCAGAGAGATCCTTTCTCATGTGCAAGAGAGTCCAGATTAGAGTTCTACTTAAATGGCAGACACCAACTATCTGATTTTGTTTTCCCTAATGCCAGATTAAATAGGGTTAATTCCATTTATGTCAGTGGATAGCTGTTACATGCAAAATGAACACTATATACAGCAGATGTCATACCAGAACTAAGTTTTAAAATAAATTCTACTTTGATTTCACAAAAGGAAATCAAATTCTTATTTGCACAGGAATAGACTGGAAAAGTATTTCTGCATAATTATGTCTAGTCCCCTGCTATATACTCTGGTATAGACAACCGCATCCTATTCCATTCAAAATCTTATCAAGCTTCATCTTTGAAGTTATTAAGTTTCACACCCCCATTACTCCAGATGGAGGGCTGTTTCACAATCTCAGTCCTCTGATGGTTAAAAACATTTTTCTAATTTCAAGATGAAACCTCCTCCAGGCCAATTTTACCCTGTTTTGTGCTAAAATAGTCTTTTAAAGTAGCTCCTCTGCCTTTCTGGTGTCTCATATGGCATTGAAATCAGTGTGAGAGAGAGGCTGGAAACTAAAGCAAGATGATAATGTACTATACAAAGTTAAAGGGTAGCATTTTCCGAACTGACTATATTACTTATAAGACCAAATGCCATTTTCAAAAGATGTGTAGGTTCTAAGGAAGCTAAGTCTCAGCGATGCTCCATGGAATTTACACTACCACGCTTGCCTAATTTGGTTTTGAAAATTAGGTACAAGATCCCAAGTCATTTACACACAGAGAAATTTATACCTACTCTTTTGTAAATGTTCATAATGTTGGAGCAAGATCTCAAAAATACAACCTTAGCAAATATCTCTCAAAAAAGAAAAAAGACCTTTAAGTAATGTAACGTAAGTAGACTCTGTATTGTACAGCAAAACACAATCTGAGAAAAATAAAGGAAACCAGACTTACCTTTTTGAAAGAGATGTATATTTGCATAGCCTAAAATTCCATTACTGCGACTGCAGTAAATGCAGAATAAATTCTTGCTTGCTCTTTCCTCACTGTGCACTGTGTGAGCAATAACAGAATCACATGTGATTTTAGTTCTTCTTTTTGTGTACCTTTGAAAACAGAAGTGGCCCCAGTGGGAAGCTATCTGGTTCCCCAATACAGAATGATGACAAATTCAAATACGGACGTTAAAAATACATCTAACATGTTGCTGATGACTGTGGTACAATCGTCATAATTACCATGACTGCTTTAATTCTACAAAATTAGCTAAAACTAAACAAGTTTACTAAATGATTGCAGAATCAAGTATATTTATGTTGGCCAACATTGGCCATGCTGCTTAATAATGAAACTCAGTATAATATATTTTGTAATGCAAAGACTCAATCAAGCATTCTGCTACTCATTTTCCATCCACAAAAATATGTAGTTAGTTATTAAGTTAGATGTCAGACTAATTTACACCAACACATGGCAATGTTAAGGGTCTTATGCATTGTTTCCTTTAGGTGAGAGAAAATGATACTGGAGTCTAGCTTTTCATTGATGAGATCCTGTTTATTGACAAAGAATGACTATTAAGTCCTGTTTCCTTGATATTAGGGATCAAACAGCAGGAGACTGTCCCTGTACTCACAGTTATAAGTTCCATTCCACCCAGCAGTTTGACAAAAGCTATATTTTATCTAATTATTTTAGTAAAATAAGTGGACTTGGTATTTTGGAATAAAATATAATCTGAGAAAAATCAACAAAACCAGACTTACTAGGCTCTGCTATCCTACTGCTTTCTTCCTGCCATGTTACCAGAGATTCTGTGCCTGTCTTGTGCTTCCCTGACTTCTTCACTGTCTCCTTCTCTTACACATAGGTACTCAATAAGAACCCTAACCCTGCATTTGTATGTATGAGAAACAGATTCATATTAGGAACAGACCCAGAGAAAACATCTTGGGAGTTATGACCCAAGTACTGCCCATGCTTGGGTGAAGTCTAGATCACAGGCAATGGTTTTTTTTCATTGTTCCAACTATCCCTGAACAAAAAAGCATATAAAGGCTTAAGCATTAGGTGGAAAAGAAGGTGGACCTTCTCCTCAATGGCTTTAACAAGGGATGTAGCCACGCACTTCCAGGCAAAACCAGGTGTGAAAATGCACTGGTCTGTAGGTGCCAAGGGTGCATACAAATAGAATGTCAATGTATGAAATGTAATGCTTAGTCCAGAACAACCTTAACATTTTCACTAGATTTTGACTAGGCAGAGTTCATTCTGACTATTTAGCAGAAGGCTGTCTCAGCTGCTGGCAGCTAGTTGCTGGTAGCAAATTGCTAAAGCTTTGAGCTGTAATCTGGGCAACCTGACTCCTTCAGATGTGAAAAAAATCAAGCAATACATGACAAAAGTCGATCCAGACCACAAAGGTTAAGCCACCTGAGGCTAAGGTGATCTTTAGAAAAAAATCTATTACAAGTTTACAATGCTAATGATTAGCTTGTATGTGCCTGCGATATCAAGATTATCTTTGCAAGGAAAGAAATCTAGAAAAGAATTCATTTCACTTTTGGTTTTCTCTATCCTCTAAGTTATGACAGAAGTTGCATTTATAGACCTCTTGGGTTAACTGTGGTCAGTTCTGCTGAGGCAGAATTTTATATTGGCCTTTAAATATGCTACCCACTTCTGCACCTGCAAATAACAGCAGAAAAAATGATAACATTTAGACAGCCACCTACACAATCTGTGCTATGATCAGGTGCTTAGCTGTCTATATGCTACCTCTTCTGTGAGCAAACTTGAAGAAGTTTGAAGATTATTTAAACATTTGTCTCAGACATCTAGGGAAACATTTCAATGAACTAATGCTAATTTATATCAGTTGAGGATCAGGTTCCAAATGATATATAACCTCCTACCATATAATGAAAAATATGATATATCAACTTTTCCCCTTCATTATTGCTTGTCTCACTCAAAAGTGGACCTACCATTCCTTTTTGCCTATTATTTTGTACCTTTGGCCAACACCTTTTTGGTTTTGTCTTATTCTGAAAATGTTAAATTCTTTTTAAGAAACTAACAAGACTTTGATGGTGATAATTCCTAATTTAGGCACATGGGGTTGTAATGAAGAGTAGGAGACCTAAGCCATTTTCAGAGTTTCCCCAGACTTGCTGATCGCATGGACATACTGCTTCAGGGACTGTTTTTCAAAGATGCTGAGTTCCTGTGCCTCCCATTCACTTAATTTCAAAATGAAGTTGTTCAGCTCTCTTGAAAACCATTCCTTGCAACTTAGCTTTGTTCATATGTACAGGATAAAAGGATGTTAGACAGGTCAAAAGAACAATCAAATAATAATAGAATGTGCACTGAATCAGAAAGTGAGAACATTTAAAATACATTAAGTATAATATAGTATAAAAAAAAGTTAATATTAAAAACATCCATCTATTTTTTTCACTGCTGACTTCCTTAGAATGTAAAGCTGCATTAAACCCTCATTATTAAATTTGTGCCCTATCTCCTGAGCAATAAAACTAAGAGCACAGTTCAGTCTGTATATTTGTCTGAAACTTTAACTCATCTGCTGTCACTAAAGAACTATATATATTGCATATGTTTTCTCAGTGTCCCATAATGACTATTCATAAACCTATCTCTTAAAATATGGGTTCTTCTGAAGACCGAAAGGCTAGATTTTCGAAGTTATTTAGAGCCTAAACAGGTTCAATGTTTTTAAAAACATTGCTAAACATTTTTCTACATTGTTAGGTACCTAAATACCTTTGGAAATATGGCCCTTTGATCCTTCCAATCTATTTGTAAACTCTTTAGGGAAAAATCTGGGATTATGTTAGGTGTTTATACATTGTTAGCACTGTGATTTAAGCCTGGGCTCCTGAATGATACTTTAATACAACTAAGTTAATTTCTCATGTAGAGCTGATTTCTGACACTCCTACTGCATGAGTATCTTGTGCCCTTACTCCATAAGTAATTCCACTAGAGCTTCTTGCTGAGTAGGGTGTTAATTGAATGTAATCAAACATATTATATTTTGGTCTACGGTCTAAACTCCTGGTGACTTCAATGGTATATTAGCCTCTGAGAAACCTGTAGGACTGTGCTGTAATGTTATACATAGACAAGGCACTCAGTGATGTTTTCTACCACTTTATATTGTCTAGACATGCAATTTTTCCCGTAAGGTCGAAAGAACAGTATAAACAATGAAGGTTTGTTTGTAATTGCTTGTTATGCTATTTCAGGAGAAAGGATTGTAATTTGCTGCATGAAACTGAACATCCAAACAGTAAACTAATCATTTCACATTTTTTTTCACTTAGAAATGAACATACCATTCTGGGAAACAGAGGGGCTCCTTTTCCCAGTAACTGGGTTATTGGACATATAAAGCTAATCCACAGATTCAGCCAAGTAACCTGTCATTGAATGGAAATGCATGTTAGATGTTTGAAATGATAAGAAAAACAATTTATTCGCTATAGACACATTAGCAAACTCTCTAAAACTGAAGTTTAATGAATTCATGAATAGCTTGTTGCCTATACTCACAATTTGAAAAAATCAGCTCCTCAGATCATTTTTCAATTGATATACAGGTATGTTACAGAAAAATGTACTATTAGGAGGGAAATGGTATACTAGAAAAGATTTATGCTGGTATACTAGAAAAGATTTATACATTTAAAATGTTCTGTTTTTCAAAGTTACAGCTATGCTTTTTTAATTTGCTGAAACAAGTTCATATGGTAAAATTTGTTCATCAGGTAAACGCAAACAAAGTTAATAAAGAGACTATTATTCCTACCAAACACAGTATAGAACAATGTATAAAGTCTCACTGGTCACAAGTCATAGCCCAAAAACAACACGTAAACTACAGAAGACAAACGTAGTTTTGGTTTTCAAACCAGTCAGTCAGTGACTGACAGGTTATGTGGATTTCTAAGTGGGAGGGCAGTCTGTTAAAACATAAAAATCATTCAAGTACTGGTTCTTCTTAGTCAGATAAACACACACACATAGCAAGAGGAGTTTTCTGTTAATTTCTGTATAAAGTTTCCTTCTTTTTGGTGAAATGGTCAGAATCTGAATCTCTTACAAGCACTGATTAAAACTCTTTAATAGATTCCAATCAAACAAGAAGATTTAACTGATGTATGCAAAATGGACAACTGAAATATAAAGATGACATATCATAGAGAAAACCACTAACAATTATTACAACACATCCTCTAACAGGCTGTAAACTGTAAAATACTGTTAATGAGGTGTCTTAACTATGAACAAAGGTCCTATCTAACTTTGATGCCCTCCCCCTATTTGAGCAGTCTAATCTCTTCTTAGATACTAGCCTTTATGTCACCTGATTGTATGCCCTCTTTGAAGTGGCTGTGTCTTTTGTGTATATGATAAAGTAATTAGCACACTTGGACCTGCTATAAAATAATAAAAACTACCATGAAAGTAGCATATTTATGTGGAAACACTGATTCAGATCAAGTCATAAATAGCTAACAAGAGCCCTACAAAAAAAACTGCATTCCATTTTCCCTTTCAGCAAAGTGAAGTAGGTTATTAGACTAAGTGCTAAGTGAATATTGAACACAAATATGATAAAGCATTCAAATACTAAAAACTAAGGTAATTGAGGCTCCAAAAATCACCACATTCAAGTTAAATGGGCCTATATGAAAAGAGGGATTCACAGGCACCTAAAATGGGACTGAGGAAGAATTTAGATGCCAAAATCCAAAATTGTAATCCTGAAAACCATTGCTCAATTGCCACCTAACCTCAACTTCTGAACCTGAAGGTCAGTCCTGAAACTTCTTAGCAGTTCAGTACATAGCTTGCATCTACAGCCATGCGTCTCCTGCTAGCTGGAGCTCTCTCGCTTGCTCTTTCTCTGGCCCAAAAAACATTCAATTATTTTCTGCACCGTGGAACAGCTTCACAAAGAGGGGCAAAAAGTGCCTCTGTTCCCCAGGACTGCCTGTAGCCTGGTGCTTAGGGCATTCTCCATGTTGATGAGAGTGGTCCTCTGTGGCCAAGGAGGAAACTAAAACCAGATTTCCCACATCTTGGGTACATTAACCACCAAGGGAGAGGGGCATGACCTCTTCCTAGTCTCCCTACCTTATGTTTTAAACAGAGAAAACGAATGATCCTCACTGCCTTTGTGAAAGAAAGGTTGTAAGCACTTACCTTCAGAAGAGAGGATTGGGCTGTGGATCCTAGACAGGCAGGACAATCCAACAGCCTGAGTAAAACACCTAAATTCCTGAGAGAGACTGAATTTAAGGCACACCTGATTCCTAGATACATCCCATAGCTCATTCTAGATGGCTTCTGACTAAGCCTTAGGGCCATGTTGCAAGTTACACACTGGCAACACAGAGGGGGTGCATGCAGGTGCACATGCACCCCCTGAGATTGGCTGTGCACCCCCTGGAAGCGCCACCTGCAAAACCAGAAGTGCACTTCCAGTTTCGCTGCTTGCTCAGCAATCAGCCACTGGGGGACCTGTGCCGCCCCCCTGACTCAGGAGGCACTAGTTGCCCGTGAAGTTACACTTAGCATGTGCTAAATACACTTAAAATGTTAGCAACTGTGCATTGAAGCAGTAAAATATGTGCTAAGTGGGCTTTTATCATATCAGTATTACAAGTTTTTGCGTGAGGAATATCCCCAGATTGCAGTAAGTAACGTGTTCAGCTCTTATTGAACTGTTCCACAAAGATAATGTGAGCAATTTCGAGTCCTCACCCAGGAGTTGACATCAGCCAGGGACCCCTCTGTTTTACCAAGCCTCCAGGTGGGATGAGGAAAGCCACAAATATCAAGAGGAAGGATCCTAGATCTTTCATTTGCCAGGTTCTTCCAGGATCAAACTGAAAGTCAAGTGTCCATAGCCCCAGGGGGTCCCAGTGCTAGAACCTACAATCAAATGATTGCTGGTCCCAGCCCAGACACCACACTGGAGCTAGTTCAAGACTCTGGTGGGGTGTTGGGACTGGGACCAACAATCAGTGAGCTGTGCATTTTAGAGGGTGTAAACTCTGCAGCTGCTCAGAACATGTTCTAAATTTAATACCACACAGGTTTAACACCTACTGTGCCCCATATGACAAGGCCCACTGTTCCTTTCTTAGAGCGCTAGAAGTTCTGAAGCACCTGCCTCTCCCCATGCATTCATTCTCTACTCGGAGAACAAGGTGTTTAGAAGGCAGGTGCTACTGCATTCAATTTTGCAGTGCTAGATCCCTTTCTGGATCTCGTCCATACTGACAGCAACCTATTTCATAGGTCCTTAACCTGGAAAAGTTGTTTGCGTGAAAATAAACTGTAACTGAGCAGAGCTAAGGTCAGGATACCTCAGATCAAGCATGCAGAGCAGAATTCAGGTACCCTTGTATTTGCCCATTACTGCTTACTGCTAGATGTGAGGAAGAAGGAGGAAGAAGCAGATACGGTATACGTTTTGTTTATGATTCTGCTTTGTCTGCAACCCAATAAAAAACATGATTCTTTAGTGAGTGATCGAATTGTTCCTTTCCAATTTCTAAATTCTCCAGAAGGTGTATCTGACACCTGGCTGCAGGCCAATTTGATGACACCGCTCTGTGCTCCTGGAACCTGAAGCACAATCCCTTCAATGGCTCCTGTTTAGACTATACACCTCTGTATCCCTCCCCATTACCATATGAAGTTATGCTTTAAAAGTATAGCAGTCTTTTACTGCCACAAGAATAGTAATAATATGAAATAAAAGCAGTTTAATACAAATAAACCTCTGTCTGTTTGGGTGCAGTATAAGCACATGACTACAGGATACCCCTGATTTTTTTAATGATTTTCAATGATTTTGTGATACAGAACCATGTTTCATGTGCGCCACCTTCTGGCTATGATGCTTCAACCTCTACAACCATTCATTACAGTTTGGGATCTGGTTGCAGCATGTATTTGTTCCAATTATTACTAAACTTTAGTAAATCAGAAATGTATAGAAAAAAAATTTGGATTTAAACTTTTTGCATTTGAAGAGTACTCTTCCATTTGGTATCCCAGAATGTTTTTATAACTGCTGGCAACTCAAACTTCCTGATGCTCCTGCAAGCTTCACTCAGGGAATTGATGGGCAGGATCCCTTGGGAGGCCAGGCTAAGGAGAGCTGGCTGTACTTTAACGAAACATTACTGAGGGTGCAGGAAGAAAAAATCCTGATGTGCAGGAAGAGTGGCAAGTATGGCAGAAGAACAGCTTGGCTTAGCAGGGAACTCTTCAGTGAGCTAAAACACAAAAAGGAAGCTTACAAGAAGTGGAAACTTGGACAAATGACTAGGGAGGAGTATAAGGGCATTGCTTGGGCATGCAGGGATCAAATCAGGAAGGCCAAAGCGCAGTTTGAGTTGCAAATAGCAAGGGACGTGAAGAGTAACAAGAAGGGTTTCTATAAATATGTCAGTGACAAGAGGAAGATCAGGGAAAGTGTGGGTCCCTTACTGAATGGGGGAGGCAACCTAGTGACAGGTGATGAGGAAAAGGCTGAAGTACCCAATGACTTTTTCACCTCTGTCTTCACAGGGAAGGTCAGCTCCCAGACTACGGCACCTGGCAGCACAGTTTGGGGAGGAGCTGAGGAGCTGACAGTGGCAAAAGAACAGGTTAGAGATTCAATAAGGACAATCCCATGCACCGGTACAGGCTGGGGACTGACTGGCTGAGCAGCAGCTCTGCAGAAAAGGACCTTAGGGTTACAGTGGACAATAAGCTGAATATGAGCCAGCAGTGTGCCCTTGTTGTCAAGGTTAATAGCATATTGGACTGCATCAGTAAGAGCATTGCCAGAAGATCAAGGCAAGTGCTTCTTCCCCTCTCTTTGGCACTGGTGAGGCCACATCTGGATTACTGTGTCCAGCCCCCACCTACAGAAAGGATGTAGACAGATTGGAGAGAAGCCAGTGTAGGGCAACAAAAACTCTTAGGAGGCTGGGGAACAGGACATCTGAGGGGGGGCTGAGGGAGCTGGGTTTATTTAGTCTGGAGAAAAGAAGACTGAGAGGGGATTTAATAACAGCCTTCAACTACCAAAACAGTGGTTTCAAAGAGGATGGAGTTAGACTAGGGTTGGGAAAAATACGGCCTGTGGGCCGGATATAGCCCACCTACTGATTAGATTTGGCACACAGGGAGATGCCTGCCAATTGATTCGATCCAGGCCACAGCTTCCCTCATGATGCTCTGCACAGGGCGAAGCCCAGCCCGGGGCAGCCCATGCCATGCTCCAGTTCACACCCACAGGCTGACCAGCACACACAGCTTCCAGTTGGATTGCTCCCATTGCAACCATGACCCTACCCCATGATCCTGGCCTTGGTCGCCTGTCTCAGTCCCAAACACCATTCCCTGCCTACCCACAGCCCCATCCCACATAAGGAGTTTTAGTGACTTGTTGCAGAGGGAGGGGAGGGGTGCTGATCCAGCCCATGACAACACATCAAAACTCCCTATGTGGTCCCCAGGCTCCTGATACTTGTGGATCCCTCAGCTAGACTCTTCTCAGTGCTGGCAGATGACAGAACAAGGAGCATGGTCTCAAGATGCAGCAAGGGAAGTTTAGGTGAAATATTAGGAAGAACTTTCTCACTAGGAGGGTAGTAAAACACTGGAACAGGCTACCCAGAGAGGTTGTGGATTCTCCATTCTTGGAGATTTTTATGACCCAGCTAGACAAAGCCTTGGCTGGGATGATCTAATTGGGGATGGTCCTGCTTTGAGCAGGGGGTTGAACTAAATGACCTGAGGTCCCTTCCAACACTCATTTTCTATGATTCTAAGATAGATGATATTACTCCATTTGAGATGCACACCTTGCTGGGGTTATTTGACCCCAGCAGTCTTTCCTGCCCAGAGCCAGGGGGCTGGACTCCATGATCTCACAAGGTCCCTTCCAGCCCTAAACTTCTGTGAATCTGTGAGCGATACAGAACACGAGGCACAGAGAGGTCAAACAAGCTGCCTAAAGCAACAGCAGCCAACAAAGTGAAGCCAACAGGGGTTTTGTCCTGAAGTCTGCAGGGCAGCTGGAAAAAGCAGCCCAAGAGGTCTTCTTGACTCACACAACAGTCCCTTGTACATAGGTGTGTAAAAAAACACAACATGGAAACAGGGCCTCCTGAATCACAAGGCTGGTAACACTCAGGTATTGCAGATCTCCAGGCGCGCTGTGGAGACTGTCAGCGACGTGCACCCAGGAGCAGGCTGGTGAACTCTAAAACCAGGCCAAGCAGCCCCCACTCCTGCTGAGCAAAACCAACCAGGTGTTGTACGGGCAGGTTTGCTTGGCACTGGGAGAGCCACAGGGCTGAAGTCTTGATAACAGTCTTCAAATACCTGAGAGGCTATTTGCAGGCATGAACACCGTGTGCCCCCAGAGGCTGGGGGGGCCCGGTGAGCTCCTGCAGGCGGCAGCAGCAGTGTTGCTGGCGGCGGGAGCATGGTGGTGGCAACCAGTGAGCTCCTGCAGGCAGCTGCAGTGTCAGCCGTGGAGGGGGTGGCGAGCACTGACTGGCAGTCAGTGACCACCCGCAGACGCCTCCAGCAATTGCGGTCCCCCTGCAGATGCCGCTGGCTGTGTTGACAGTGTGGGAGGGTGACGGGCAGCGTCGGCCGTGCCTGTTTGCAGGTGGTGCACCACCACACTCAGCGGGTGCACGTGCACCCACATGCACCCCCTACACATCACCAATGCTTGAAGGGAAGATGGAGGTGGGCTCTTCTCTGTGGCTGTAGGGGACAGGACTAGGAGCAAGGGGCTGAACCTGCAACAGGGGCAAGGCAGGCTGGAGATTAAGGGGGCTCTGAGGGTGGGCAGGCTGCCTGGCAGCCGTGGACCCTCCACCCCTGGCAGCTTTCAGGAGCGGGCTGCGGGGCTCAGTGAGGCAGGGCTGGTCCTGGTCCTGCCCTAGCACGGCCTGGGCTGCACGAGGAGCCCCAGGAGCGCGGGAGGCCTCAGCCCACTCAGCCCTGGCCTCGCCCGGGGCTCCACACGTCTCAGCCCCGGCGCGAGGCGCAGGGAGGCCGGGGTGTGTTCCCGCGCGGGGGGCGGGGCCGGCGCTGATTGACAGCCCGCCCCGCCCAATCCGCTCCCCCCGCCAGGTGACAGTTGGTTGCCGTAGCAACCGACAGGGAAGCGGCGCGCGCGCGCCATGGGCACCATCCGCGTCTATTACACCAGCGTCAGCGGCTCCCCGGGGGTCAGCGGGGTGGCTCCCACCCGCCGACCGGGCGCGCACGCGCCGTGGGTCCCGCGGGCCCGGCTCACGCGCCCCCTCCTGCAGGTGAAGCAGCGCCAGGCCGAGGTGCTGCGCATCCTGGACGGGAACAGGCTGAAGTACGAGCTCATCGACGTCTCGGTCAGCGAGCGCCTGCTCCAGGAGATGCGCGACAGGGCGGGAGACCCCGCCGCCGTCCCGCCGCAGATCTGCAACGGCGAGAACTACTGCGGAGTAAGACGCCGGGGCCGCCCGGGCTCTGCTCCTGGGCGCACCGCATGGGCTGAGCACAGGAGAGAAACGCCCGAGAGTAGCGGTAGCGAGGACATGGAGCTCCCTGCAGCCTGTCTGCAGCCCCCGCCCCCGACACGCCCACACGGCCTCTGCTTGTTCACATCCAGGATGAAATGATGTATGTGTAATAGCTGAATCTTACACACACACAGTAGAACATCTCAAGGTCCCAACAAAAACTTAAGTACATTGTTGACCATCTCTAATCCCACTTTTGCTCTCATTAGCTAGGAAACAAGAGATCGGGTGGGCCCTTTATTTGTCTTGCCCTGTGTAGGTTCCCAGCAAACACACTTGCACGCTCAGCCCTCCGTTAAACCCTTTTTGACTTGAGCATCGTCTGACATCCCAACTCTGAAGATAAGATTGTCACCTTTTTTTGGAAACCACCTATGGCTTCTTACGAAAATTCTAGTCATCCGGTTGTTACCAGGAAGCTATGTGACAAGGTACGATAAGGCATATAGATTGTCACCTTTTTTAGGGAGACCATCTTATTTTCATAATTGGGATGTCAGAGAATGAATGTTCTTTGCACAAGGCCAAAAATGGTTTAGCAGATGGCTGTACCTGCAAGTGTTTTGGCTGGGAACATACAGGGCAAGAGAAATTCAGGGTCTACCCAATCTCAGGTTTCATAGCTAATAAAAACAAAATTGGGATTTGAGATGGCTAATCTTGTATTTACATTTCTCTCCTTGACCATGACATGTTATACCATACACACACGTGTAATTATACATCATATACATCCTCCTTGGACATGAACAAGCTAAAACATAGATGAGACACACATTTTATCTCTGGATCATCTGTAGTTAGTCTATAATGTGCAAGCCTCCCCTGCCTACTGGGGCTAACTGTTTCACCGAGAGCTGCCACTGCAGGCGTGATTCTATGCATCACAAACTTCTGTGAGCTGAAGCTCACTCCATTAGAGGTCATGAAGCATGCTTTAGGTCACAGAAGCCGACACCCCTGCTCTGTACTTTTCTTACAGTGCCAATTGAAGTGGATGGTTGCAGCTCTGGTTCCAGTCTGCTTATGTTTCCACTCATGAAAATATTTAGCTATTGGGACTATTCTGCTGTCATTTAGATGTGCAAAACTCCCAGCCTGTTCACTGGCACTGTACAACTAAGACATGCTTGGTCTGAAGTGCTTCGTGACTGATGGTCTTGAGATACTAAACCAAGCAAAATGCAGTTTTTCATAACAGTTGCTCACAGTGCAGGTGAAATTCAGGGTCCACCAAATCTCAGGTTTCATAGATAGTGAAACCATAATTGGGATTTGAGATTGCTAATAATGTATTTATATTTCTTTTAGGACTTTGAGATGTTATATGAAGCAACTGAAAATGAAGAAGTTTCTAAGTTCTTAAAGATGACATCAATAGACAAGACTGTTAGAGAGGAAATTGCTATCTGACAGCTGGTTCTGGAACCAGGTTGCTTCAAATGCCAAATTTACTAAATATATTTATTCCTTTCTGGTTTCATTAGTTATTCAGGGTAAATCTAATGATTTTTTATTTATTTTTAGTATTACAGTATAGCTGGGTCAAGTCCTTCATGATAGTGTGGACACAAGAAAGCTAGAGGCCTTTAGCACACTGTACATCTTTCATTCCAAAAGCCAGTTTACAATGTTTTCCATATTTTTTCAAAAAACCTCTCAAATAAAATAATTCCTACTTGTCATCTTTAGATCTTTGTTAATCTTTTAATCCTAGCACCACTAGGCCACCAAGAATGATCAGTGTACTGTCTAAACAGCTTTATTTCCCGAGACAGTTAAAAGCAAGTAATTAGTATTTTAATTACCCATTAATTTTTAAGAAGTGGATTTCTTTTCTTCAGATAGAACTTTCCTATCCATCCACATAGGTTTTATACATAAATCCTCCCCCACCTCAATAGAATAATTATCATAACAGATGCATTATTGTCCTAGGAGCTACTTTTCTTGGAAACTTACTGTTCTCAATGGGGTGCATAGAGCTCTGTATTTTAATAATGTTCAAGGCAGGCTTTTTTTGCGGGGGAGGACCAGATCTTCCATTTACAAGTCACTTTTACGTGAATGAACTCAGCTCCTAAAAATATGAATTTTAAACATCAGCATAGGGTTTCCTTAAATTGTTGCCGCACTTATGGATTCCCTCTCAAAGTTAGGGATGGCAAAACGCTTAACATTTCAGCTATGTGAGAAAAAATAGCCTGTAGTGAAATTAAGCACATAATTAAGAAAAGACATAAGGGAAAAAAAGAAGAAAAAAAATCAAATACATTTGTTTCAATGACTTTTTGAGGAGTAACATTATAAATTGATAGGGGTCCCTATATGGGAAGGTACTACATTCATTTCAGATACAAGGCCTCACAGAGTGATACTGTCACTCCTTGAAAAAGTGCAATGATCCTTTCCCCCCAGCACAGGACCAACACTGGTAACCACTGCAGACACCAGGAAGAAGCTTGGAGATAGTAATATTACCCTCATGCTAGCCTTGCAGAATCTTCTCTCTGAGGGCAAGCATTTTAGGTTTATTATTTGAGTAGGATAGGTGAGCACAAGGGACAGGTTTCTTCTCATGTCTGCCTTTACAACTACAACACAGAACTGGTGGACCCTGAAGTTCAATAGTTATGGTACTGAATCTTTGCAGACAGCTTTTCCAGCAAGTGTCTTATCTACATGTTGAGACTTTTACACAATAAAAACAACCCCCCGTTCCCTGCCCACAACATCCTGCCCCCCTTCTCCCCAGTCAATCAGAAAACAATTTGTATTCCTCAGGTTAAATTATATTGAAGATAAGGTAAGGCTACAATTTTCAGAAGTTATCAAGAAGAGATAGACTGCATTGCCCCATATACTTTAATACATATTGCTAACTCATATTGAAACTATAGTTTTATTTCCCAAGTTTGAGAATGCCAATTGAGAACACACGTTCTTAACTCAAGTCTTGGCCATACACAAAAGTCCTTACCTCTAGCATACAGCTGATTTTACTTCTAGTTGCACAAATTGGGAGCTGCAAACATGACCCACAAACTTCCCTAATTTCTAGCAAGAACTCTATACTAAACATGTAGTGAATTTGCAACCTGCCTAATGTTTACTGTATGTTATACTTCAATATTATGGTCTATTTCCAAACACATTACTCAAGAATACATGAATATTTAATGAGACCAAGATGCTTCAAATAACAAAAAGTAAAAGTTTAAAAACATGAAAAGAAAAATAAGTAACATTCCTTGTGTATCAGTAGAAAAAGTTTATTATTACAGTGCGCACCACTGTAACCTGGAACAGCAAGTAAACATTAAATGCAAGCATGCAATTATTACAGATTTTTGGAATTCATTTTTATTTAAGAGCTTTGCATTACTGAATGACAATATTCTTTGCTTTTAAGACTACTTTTTAAAAACAGTCAATAAAACATTAAATGATTCTGTATTACACATGTGAAACATATTAGGAAAAGGCAAACGTGTTTTCTTGTCAGGACAAACTCCATCAAAAGTTGCTTTCCCCAAAATGGACCTTATGAACCACTTTAGAAAAAACACCAAATCATAGCAAAAGCAAGAGTGGAAGATAAAAAAAAAAAAAACAAATTGAACAAAAACACTATTTAGAAGACGTGATAACTGTTCCCAGTTGTGCTTTATCCCATTTAGACATAAGGAAAAAATCATCCTATAAATAGGCAAGTAAATATTCCCTCTTCTCATTCATGAACCATTCATTAATAAGGTTAACAAAACAAAGCTTTATTTCAGAGCACTTAAATGTAATTTGGAATTCTGGTGAGTACCAATACAGTCCAACTTAGGACTGGGAATTCAGCTTCATGCTCACAACATACTTTATTCTTCAAGTAGAAAGGTTGCTAGCTGGCGTAATAACTCAGTTTGGAAAGCTTGTAGGACTGTCATCTGTCATACCAGATCATCAGAGACAATTATAGTGAATTAGGACCCAAACCCGCAACCTCACTTTTGTAGCAGTGCTTTATGAGCAAGGGTTGTTCTTCATAGATTTTCAGATTTCATAGACATTTGGGGATGGAAGGGACCTCATGAGATCACTGGGTCTAGCGCCCCCACCATAGGCAGGAAGTCAGCTGGGATCAATTGACCCCAGCAAGAAGTAAATCCAGCTGTTTTTTGAAGGAGTCCAGAGTAGGTGCTTGCACCACCTCTAAGTCGGCCTTCCTGGAGTTTATGGCCATTAAACCTTGTTATCCCTTACTGGCCTTAAAAAAGGGCCAATAAGGGATAACAAATAAAGATGGCAAGACCAGGACCTTAATATATTGTTTCCAGGTTCTACCGTGGACATTTTATCTTAAAACATCTTTTATAAAATATAAATCTTCTAGCAGATTAATGTTAGTAATTTCTGTTACAACTTAGTATCACTCTAGCAATGCCTACGTTACAAAAATGAACTTTATTTTAACTGAATGTGTGGCAAAACATACCCACCCCCCCCCCCCCCCCAC